CGCCGTGAGATATTCGGCGAGTCGCATGAAGGGTGCGCTGCATCCTGCTAAGGGTTTTCGGCATCTTGTGCTTACTTCCTTGCGTACGGATGACAGCTGCGTATGACTTAATTTATTTTCTGGTGCTTTCACTTCCTGAGACAGTTGTAAGCACTATGAAACTGCCTCGAGGGTGCTTGACCATTTAAACACAACGTGGTGCGATCTTTTGGGCGCGGAGTGAGGGTTCTCGGCCCCGCACAACATGATCTACTCGACCACCACCATGGTGACCGCCAAAAAAAAAACAGAGGTAAAAAAAAAAAAACGGCAACCTGGTTGCCGGGTTCACGAAGTGAATTGGCTTGTTTTACAACGTCGTTGCCAAGCGACGACAACCAAACCCCAATGGCAAACGCCGGGGGGGGGCATTGGGGGGGCTGAAAGTGAAAGGGGGCTAACGCGTCCTGAAGTCCGTCCCGTTGGCACTATTCTCGGGCATGTACTCTGGCAAGGGTCAGGAGACTACCAAAATATAACTTCTGGCGTGACAAGGCAGTAATAATCGTCTTGAAGCGATTCGAAACATATGTCGCCCTCAACACGTCTGTGTGAGACACGTCGTTTCATTCCTCTGAAGACCCTCCCTTTCGCAAATATGAGCCGTTTTGCCCACAGCTCTAGTAGGCAAATAAAAATAGAAAGCTATCTCGGCGTTCACACAAAAGCGACCACAAAACAATATTCTTGCAAAGAAGCACTTTGCCCGCATGTCACCATCTGCTCCTGAAGCCTTGGAATCCTGAAACCACCTCGGAATTCATTCAAAATCGACCAAGGCCGAATTCTTGCAACAAAAAAAGGCGAGATTCTTGCGAATTACAACGAACGTCGCCGCCGACATGCCATTTACCTGCTCCTGAAGCCTTAGAGCCCCGAAGCTACCTCGGTATGTATTCGCACAACAACGACCAAGACCAAATTCTTGCGAGCAAATACGACTCTAGCCGACAAAACAAAAACCTCGCCGCCGACATGCCATTTACCTGCTCCTGAAGCCTGACAAGCTTCCGTTCTGCCTCCTGCAGGCGTCCCAGCTCCGCCTCCCACCGCCCCCGTATCTCTCGCAAGCCTTCCATGGCGTCGCCGCCGGCGTTCTCAACCTTGTCCGTGACCCACGCTCTGAGCCCTCTCGCCCCATCGACCCGCCGCATGATTCGGAACAGCACTCGCTCAAGCCTTGGAGAGGAAGAGGCGTCGCGGAGCAGGGATGCGGAGTTCGTGTTGGGGAGATTAGGGATAGGGATAAGGGTGATGGATACAACGGGAGTAGGCAGCACCGAACCAACCAAAAGGTTAGGGGTAGGGTTAGGGATAGAAGACGAGGAGGCGGCACCCCCAACGAACGAGAGGCTTCACGGGCGAGGTGTGGGGGAGCTAAATGCTAAATGCTAAAAAGGGCTAGGGCTAGGGCTAGGGCTAGGGCTAGGCATGCAAGAGGAGAGGCGGAGCGGAGCGGGGGGTGCGGGGTGGTGATGGGGGAGAAAAGTGGTCAAATACAGGGTTCGGGATGGAAGAGGAGGAAGCAGGTCATAAGCGAGGTGCGCCGCGGGGCACGGGGGCGGAGGAGGGTGTCGTTTGCGGCGAAAGGGATACTTAGCGTCAGAGTCAAGGTCGGGGTTCATGTATTAGGGATCCAGTAGGGGTAGGCTGTTAACGACGACACGCCTTGGGCAAAACGCCCGACCCTGGTTTGACATCGAACTACTACCCCTGTTCGACGTCCAAGCCGCCACGACTAGAACCGTCCGACGAGCGTCACGCCCCCATCCCAGGACCGACCCTCACCATTACACCGAATCACCCTGCTCGACCTCCAGCACGACTATGGAAGTGAGTACAAGACATCGCCCAACACGTGGCACGACCCCATCCCAAACTCACTTCGACCTGACCCTGACTAACACCGAATCGCGCCTGTCGGACGTCCGACAGGCGGCACAAGCCACACCCGGGTTCGCTTCACAGCGTCCAAACCCCCTGGGCTATGTACGTTCGACTGACACAATCCAAGCTAGGGTGTCGTGGAATACACCACTTCCCCGCAACCGCCCTATCATACTTGGCCATTTTATTTGAGTGTACCTTCTTAGGGTAAGTTAGCCTGTGACCACGGGAATCGACCGCGTCGAGTGTTGGATCAGTACGGACATACGAAGGTACTGGGTGGAGAGAGAGATCGGAACGGTTGTTAATGTCAAGACAACAACATCAACAAGATAAACAGGAGTATTTTTTCTAGCACATGACGACGTCGAGCATACGAAAGATCAATCACCGAAATCGAGATTACAATAGGTGAGGCGGGTTGGTCGTTCCTTAACTTTTCGCGACCGAGCGACCACCGCGGGAGGTGGTACCACTGGTAAGTCCGGGCAGGAGGACCGACCCACGGCTGACCCACAGCTCCCAGCTGCGATGGAGTTTTCCCAAGCTCGACAGCAAATAGCTCAAGACAGCTGACGTGTTTTTGACTCCAACGGCTCAACCAAAGTCAATGAACGAACAAAAAAAAAAAAACACAAATCAGTCTACACCGCTATGGAGACAATTCTCGAGATTCTTGAGAAAGATTTACAAATCAGTGCAGTACATGTACGGCACGAGATAACCGCCACCTGCACCGACTTTCGAATCTCGACTACGCAACGACGAAGAGGATGCACAAACGAAACGATACTCTTCGGAGAGCTCTCGACCAGACAGCCCCAACGCCGCCGGTTTTCGGCGCTACGACTCTTTCTGCTGTTGACAGATCGAGCATTCAACATCTGTCCAGGGGGTGTGTTATCTTGTGTCATATACGGTAGTCTTACTGTACGCTTGACAGTAGGCGGCGACTGCGGGTCTGTGGCAACGTCCCGTCGGAGATGATGTCATCGATACGAAACGTCAAGTGAAACGTGACGACGGGGACGGTGCTTCGGGAGGGTACAGCAGCGGTGGCGATCGGACAAGACACCGAGACCGTCGCCTTTATAAACTCCCTTCGGCCCGCATTCGACAAAAAAAAAAAATCTTGATGAGACGGCGGTCCCAACACCGACACTCTCAGTGACACCCGGGGTCTTGCGAGGGCAACTCTGCCGTGCCTCTTGCCTGCTTCCTGAGCAGCAGCTCTTCGGTCTTCCAAACATTTGCATGGCCACCCCAGGCAGGCACGTCTGTAAGCGCAAGTCATGGATATAACGGCGACATGATACAGAATGACCATTACATAAGAACAACGGCAGGCAAGCCCACCTGGCCATCATGGCAGCCGCATCGACCGCAGAATCAGCTGGAACCGCGCCCCCGCTGCCTTCCACCCGTCCATATATTCTGCGACTCCCGACGGGCAAGACCGATCCGTCCGAGAACGAGACCGAAACACCACCACCTCTTCCTCCTCCTCTTCCGCCTCCCGGCGTTGTCGTTGTCGGTGTCCTTGGCACCTCCCCCATCGCCGTCGCCGCCGCCGCCGCCGCCGCTGTTGACCTTCCCGGCGATCTCAACGCCGCCCGGCCGCCCTCCCCCACCGACGAGCGGCGAGAAAACCAGCATCGCTCCGGGCCGTCCTCCTCGCCGCCGCCCCGGCGGCGGCCCTCAGAAGCAGCGCTTGCGCCAATACCACGCCCGCGTCCCTCCGGGCGGCAGTCATCACCATCGCCGCCGCCGCCGGCAAAGTCTTCACCCCCCTGGTGGAAGGGTTCCCATCCGCCGATCCCCTGCAGGGCGTCCGCGAGGGCGTCCTCCACGTCCTGCAGCGCGCGCGTCATGGAGCCCTACAGCAGCATGTGCATGCCCACGGACACGGGTAAGGGCGGCGGCGGCGGCGGCAGGAGGTGGTCAAGGCTGGAAGGTGGTACAGCGCAAGACGCCGGGGGTGGGACAGCAGCGGCGGCAGACAGCAGCAGAAGTGAAAGGTGGCACAGTATCATTCCGACCGCGCGCACGCGTAGCGCGCGCGTCATGGAGCCCTTCACACCACGGATCGGGAAGGGGCGGCGGGAGGTGTCAGGCAGCAACAGCAGCGGTGGGAACTGCTGTATTGTGCCGCTCGAATAGTGCCGGGTGCCCAGCATGGTGCCGGTGATTCCGGCTCGCACACCACTGAAATTCCAAGTCGTTCTGTAATTTGAATAGTGCCGGTGTCCGGAGCAGTGCCGGAAAAATCTCTGGACGCATACCGGCACTATACAGGGCCCAGTAGTAGCACCGTCCACGGCAAGACAACCGGCGGCGGAGCAGCACCCGACAGCAGCAGTAGTGACGGTCGTACAGCACTCCGTGTGCGGTACAGCAGCACCGTAAGGTTGAGAGTTACTGCACAGGGGATCGATCGATTTTCGAAGCGTAGTTTCTCCACAAACAGGAGGCTGCGAGCGCCAACTGATACTTCTCAGGAAACCTCTCCATGAGATGCTTCCAAAAACCGCGTTTTTCAACTGTGGTCGCCTCCTGTCTCTCTCGCGACCTTGCGGTTTCTCTCTCTCTCAGTAGCGAGAGGTGCAAGCACGGCATTGGCGCCGTATTTTGGGCATATGGGAGCAAATAGAAGTTGGTGGAGGCAGGGGTTCGGCTGCCATGCAGGCAGCGCGGACATTTAGCCTTGACAAAGGAAGTGTCTACTGATGGGAAGCGATCCGGGGTGGAACAAGAACACTTATTCGGCGGCGCAATCGAAACAGACGATGCTGTTCCGTCGCACGCCAGCACCTCTCTTTTTTCCTCTCTGCGCGTGATGATGCATCAACACAAGGAACATTTTTTATTCTGTACAAGCAACGCTTCGACACCGCCCTTGAAAGCGAACTAAAGCTTTTCGTCCGAAGAATTTTTTCGTTTGAAGCGGACAGCTCTTGCGAGCGATTCTACGCGAATGGTTCTTTAATTCCGACGACGGGGACGAGCCACATCCACCACATCTGGTGCACCCCAACAATCACCCGCGCAGCTTTCACCCTCATTCCACATTCAGCGGGGGGCCCTGTATGGTGCCGGTTGAATAGTGGCGGTGCTTTCGGCTCGCACACACTGAATACCAAGTCGTTCTGTACCCTGAATAGTGCCGGTGTCCCGGAGTAGTCCCGGTAAAATCTTAAGACACACTCCGTCGCTGTACAGGGCCCCCCACCGTACCCACGCATGTCCACCTAGCACGGCGATTTTCATACCATCACGCCAGCGACCGCCAGCAGCAAACACAACGCCATGACTCGCTTTGCTCCGAATTAATGCGGTTTCTGCTTGTGCCGCTTCGCACAAAATTGACAAGTCGCGATGGTGGAGCGAGTAGAAGTTCATGGAGGTGTAATAGCTGCTGTGTAGTGTGGAACAGGGTGGTATATAAGTCTGTTGTTGACGGAAACGAACTTACGGGGTCGAAAAAGCGGGCCCGAAAAGGAAACATAGCTTCGTCCCGATGGAAATGGCGGATGGAATGTGAACTACGTCCTTGGTGTGCGGTCCGCAATCGACGGCCATGTGAGGTTGGGTGATCGTGAAAAGGGTGGGCATCATGTCGTTATCGTGATGGAGGTGGCGTGCTTTTGTTGCTGCACGTGATCGGAAGGTCCATCATGACTACGACATGATGCCCACCCTGTTCACGGCCACCCAACCTCACACGGACGTCGATTGCGGACCGCACACCCAGGACGTACTTGAGATTCCATCCGCTCTGTCCATCGGGACGAAGCTATTTTTTCTTTTCGGGCCCGCTTTCTCGACGCCATAAGTTCGTTTCCGTTTACATTAGACTTGACCTCCCTGTTCCACACTGCACAACAGCTATAACATCTCCCATGTACTTCGTCTACTCCCTCCATCGCGACTTCACGTCGGGTTTTGAATCAAATACTTCGCAATTCATGGTGCCATATTCTTTCAAACGTACGTTCTGCGGCTTCATTCAGACTCATACACGCGGGACAATTTCCTTTGACGCGACCCTGTCTCGTCATTGTTGACCCTCCGCAATATCCCGATCAACCAATTACATCTCCTCTTTCCTCGTTGCCGTTTTTGTTTTCCCTTTTCTCAGGCGCTCTTCGAGTGGTGCTACCCTGTGACGATGAGGAATTTATCGACCTCGACGTCGGTGCCAAGAACATCCGCGTCAGCTACATCCTCGACGCCACTTTCATCACCGATGTCGGGAAGAAGAAAACGGGGGCACAAGTACCGTTGGAGCTACCACATCGTCGCCCTCTCCAATGACGCCACCATGACCGTTGCCCTCTCCAACGACTTCACCGTCATCGTCGCCCTCCCCCAATGACGTCACCATTCCCGAACGCCTATCCAAGATACCCACTCGGGAACCGATTGACCTCGCCTCTCGCCCTACCGACGGCGCTAGGGCTTTTCTCTTTTCCAACCGCCCCGGCCGGCACCAACAAAAAAACGGAAGGCATTTCCCTTTCAGGCACGCGTGATGAAAGGCAAAAAAAACAACTATTTACGTCCGCCCCCAATCCCGTTCCCCAGCGCCGACTCGTCTGTAGAAGAGAACCTGATGAAGAGAAGAAACTGACAAGAACAGGACCCCGATCTTTTCCCCCGGCGACGAAGGAGACGCCAACGACAACCAAGACGACGACGACGAGTGGCACTGACGACTCTTCTGTAGAAGGAGAACCTGATGAAGAGGAAACCGACGACGACGACGACGACGACGACGACGACTATGTACTAGCACCGACGACGGACAGGACCCCGACTTTTCCCTACGCGACGAAAGACACTTCTGACGACGGCGGCGATTGCCGACTCCAATGACGACTCCTCCGGCGACGGCGACGACACCGAGTTGCTCCTACCGTCTATATATCCTTTTCTCTCTCCCTGTTCCTACCCCCTGGATTCGACTACCTTTCTGAAGTGTTCCTCCTGTTTCCCTCCATCACTGGTTATGTTTGCTGTCTGTCTCATCGTTCGGAACCGCTTCCGTCTCACGCTGTGCCTCTGTTGCTGTCTGCGACATCCTACCTTTCTGGATAATATTTTCTGCTCCGGTGTTCCCTCGGGTTTATTCTTCCTTCGCGACTGTCACCGTTGTCGCTTTCCGGTGTCTTCCGCTGTCAATTTTTGAAAAGGTTGGTTGTGACTGTCTTGACGTCTTGACTACTTTTCTTCGGCAACCCCACGTCAAACGATACTTGAGCGTCCAATGCGCCATCGTTGTTGCCCACGAATTGTTCACGTAAACAATCGTTTGGCGTTGTTGTTATTCGGTTACTCCCCAGACCGTTTGGTTCTTCTGCCCCCATTTGAGTGTTTTCGTCTACGGCGTCGTCAAGGTATATGTAACGATAAACTTCGATATGCATCGGTGACCAATATCGAAGTATTCACTGGGGGTGTTCCTTAGATTTTCTGCATCCCTTCGCTCTCACTATTTTCCCTCTCTCTTGCATATAGTCGGATGCGCGATCTACACTCTTCTTTCGAGCTTTCCTTTTCCTGTCTGAATTATTCTTCTCCTGCCTTTATCAACCTAATACCACAAAATACCACTTTGTATTTTGCCTCCGTTCGATTGTGTCGATCCACGGTTTTAACTCCGTTGCCGCCGCGTCTTTCTCCGCTTGCGTGCTTTTTTTCGCGTAGTGAAAGTGCCGTGGTTATATAAGTGCCAGAGTGTTCTGTAGGATCCACCCGTGACCCGTGCTTCCGAACGCGTACGGCACTTCCCCACTTCTCGCGAAAACGTCATGAGCCTCTATGCCCTCCTTTCGCAACATAGTACACGCAACGTGCATGTGTTCATGCACTGCAACGTAAAAGTCCATGGCATGCTTTGCTAAGAAACCATCGGATTGGGAACTTAGCAGTGAAAAGACTTGAGCCTCAATGATGCCGAAATCTAAGTTGGCCATGAAGATATATGCTCAGTCAAGAAGCATCCACAAAAACCACTAAAACCTACAGTCCTCTAGTACAATAGAACCTACTGGTGTATGTTTAGTCGCCGTACGGGTAGTCCAGCCCCAAAACAAAATTAAGAAACGAGCCTCCACCAAAACAAGAAATTTCTTCAAGTGGTGGCGCGCGCTGAAAACGGCAACAACATGAGCGCTGACTTGAAGTGGAAAAAAAAAAAATACCTGGAACTCGCCCAGAGCACGCTCCCTCTCGTCTCGAGCGGCTTCGGCACGGGCTGCCAGCGACCGCGCCGACTCCGCCGCCTGCCTAGCCTCGTCAGAGCTGCGCTTCAGCGCGTCCGACCTGCGCTCGGCCTCGGCGGCAGCCCTTGCAGACACCTGACCCACCGGCCAATCAACATCGAGGACAGGATTTGCAATCGGAAGGGTCGATGTGTGTTGACGTTGGGGTTTGGCTGCTGTTGCTGCGCCAACGCTCGAAACTGTGTCGTGCACCTCGCAATTTGATGATTCTATCCTAGCTGAGCAAGCACACGAAATGCACACACGGATATGTTGAAAATGTGTCTGGTATCTCGCAATTGATGAGTCCGAGCTTTGCACACGAAACTGACAAACGCACAGTCAGTCACACCGAACTGTGTATTTTACCTCCCAACTTATGAGCCTGATATTGCGCACGAAAGCACACACACACAAGACACATCGAAATGTACCTCGTACCTCACAATTGATGAGCCTGAGCTTTGCACACAAAAGCACACGCACACACACACACACACACACACACGGTCGCATTGAAAATTGTCTCACACCTCGCATTTGATGAGCCTGTCCTGGCTGAGCTTGCTGGATGCCTCGAGCTCGGCGGACAGGCTGGCAAGCGTCCGACGGAGGCCCTCGTTTTCGTTTCTAAGAGACGCGTTTTCCGACTGGAGGTTTTCTTCTCGCTCTCCGGAGACTGCCAGTTGCGACCTGCAAAAATTGGTGGCGGTGGCGGCGGCGGTGGTGGATATGTTGGATATGTTGGATATGTTGTTGGTGTGAGGACGCTATAACGGTTGCGACCTACCAACGTTGTTGTTGGCGGTGGCGACGGTCGTGATGATGGTGTTGGTAGTGTTAGTGGTAGTGCCGTTGTGATGTGGGTTAGGGTTAGGGTCAGGGTCAGGGTCAGCAGGGTCAGCGGTGGTGAGAAACGTTGTGTGGTGCTGCTGTTGTGATGGGCTGATGGTATGGTATGGTATGGTATGGTATGGTATGGTATGGTGGTCAATTGCGGGGACGGTGGTGATGTTGGTGTTCGACATGTTGGTGGTATTGCCGGTAATCTACTACTGTGGTGTTGGTGTTGGTGATGGTTAGGGTTGTTGTTGTTGTTGTTGTTGTTGTTGTTGTTGTTGTTGTTGCTGTTGCTGTTGCTGTTGTTGATGTTGATGTTGTTGTTGCTGTTGCTGTTGCTGTTGTTGATGTTGATGTTGTTGTTGCTGTTGCTGTTGCTGTTGTTGATGTTGATGTTGTTGCTGTTGTTGGTGGCGGGGACGGTGACGGTGGCGGCGGTGGTGGTCGTTGTGATGGATGCTGTGGGCGGGGATTCCCGTGTTGGAGTTGGCAATACAGAAAGTGATGGTGACCAATGGTGGTGGCGTGGGTGGTAGCACCAATGTTTCGGGTGGTGCGTCGTCATGTTGTTGCTAGTGCCAGTGTTGTGCTAGACATACAGGTGGCCATCGTGCTACGCGTAACGCGGGGGGCACGGCTTCACGACAAACACCCAGCGATCGTGGAGTGCTGCCGCGTCAAACACGATACCAGCGCAGAA